TCTTAAGAGACATATTATAGAATGCTGAACTTTGTAATATGCTTTTTCTTACCATTTATTTATGTTCATAGCAAAAGTTTCAAACTATTGAACTTTATTTCTTTTTGTTCTAGGGGAAATTGTTATTTTTAACATCTTTTATGAAATTTTCACTGTATGTACATCAATAGTGGCGGAAGATAAAACAGGTAATGCAACCCAGAATAGTGTTAACAGTTTTCAGGTTTTCGCTTATGTAGGAGAGGGTCCACCTCAATTACACAAATACAGTCCTTCTCAACTGCAGGCAAGAAGGTCTAGTAGAAGAGATTAAAAGCAATGATAATAAAAAGGTAGTCCTTGAGAAGGGAATTAAGAGATCACAGGTGTCTTAGGTAAAAAAAAAAAAAAGGAAAAAGTACTTTCAAAGATGGTTTGGTTTTGTTGTTAGGTTTTTTTTGTGGCTGGTTTGTGGTTGGTTGGTTGTTGTTTTTCTTTTTTTTAATAGGTGGCATTTGTTTTTCTAGGGGAAAGAAACACCAGCCAGACACCTGATACTTTCTCAGTGCCGTAAGAGGTTCTAGTGCAACCTGTTTTGCATCTAGTTTCTAGCTATCGCATATGTATGGTGCTAGAGAAAATGGATAGTCTGTTTTAAGAAAAGAGGCTCTTTCATTCTCTTCTACAGTTCTGCAGCCTTGTCTGCACCTGTTCCAGCTTAGGAAATTTCTGAGTGATCCTCAGAGGGCTTACAATGTCTCACTTTTAGAGGAAGCTCAAGGTACTATCATTGCATTAAGATAATGTGGAAAGCATCTGAGGCTGAGCTGGACAGCAGTTTACAAGATCACTTGATTTCAGTTATGGCAGAACACTCTCTGATCCAAAAAATCCCACCATTTGTTTGTGCTTATGAAAAGGGTAACTAGACAATGATTTTTTCCCTGCTTAATTTCCAAGGTATTTTTCCTGCTTACTCATTTCCTCGTTTTCTAAGCTGAATTTTATGTCCTTTTCTTTAGAAAATTTTCTTTCTTTATTTATTGTTATGTAGGGAAGCTGTACCATGCCAGAAACTTGGATTTTGGACTCTTTCTTGGGTAAGTACTTAAACTTGTGCCTTTTCGTTTTTATTTTTTTGTTAAACCCAAAGAAAAAGCTAGCTGAACTTGAAATTTCTACAGTCATTCTTTGAGTCTAAATGATGCATTGGGTGTTGTTAAGACTGTGACAAGTAATTCTGCATTGCATGTTGTGAAAAAAGGCTAAAATGAACAAAAGGTTTGTTCTGCTGATCTTATGTCAAACTGCTCCAAGCTTGTCGGGAATGACTTTGTAAAACAGCTGAGTTCAGTGTTACTCAGTGCTTTCCCAGCTCCAGTTAAAACTCTCAAACCAAAGAACAGTCCATGTAACCTTATCTCTGAGGCACAGTATATCTTGTTCTTTAGGTGCTAGGACAGAAGCATCAATGTTAGTGTATGCAGTGAAATGTGGATTGGATGTGGGCTTGTTTTTGTGGTTGGTGTTTTTCCAAATTATCCCCCGAGTTACTGTACTGTGCTCTACTGGCACTTCCCATCATTCATCATTTCTACTCAGAAGCCGGTGATTTGTATTCCACTGATCTAACATTATCATTCAGTTGGCTACAAACTCTGTAGTTAGTTGCCTAGAACTGGATTCTCCTTTAGTTCTCATTTCATACCTTGTAATCAGGTAGTTCACTGCTTGCTTTTATTATCCCAGTATATTTTGTAAGGTCACTCATCCAGATGACTTTCAATGCCCAGATGGGATTTAAATGTCCGTCTTCATTAAAAATCTTACCTGCCTATCAGAAACTCAAATGTTGTCAACTGTGACTGCACCTGTTGGTCACAAGTTTGTCTTGTGTTTTGTTTGGCTTGTGTTGAACTTCTCCCACTGGTCAGAAACACTGGGAACATGCTTCCTGAAAATTAAGGCAACTTTCAAAGCTGTTCCAAGAACCTGGATTGTTTCCAGAGAATTTAATCGTCTGCTGAGTGTTCTTTAGCACCCTCTTGCCTACAAACTGTTCGGGTTTATCTTACAAGCTAGAACTGGCAAATCCAGTAGTATGTGGTTTGCTTCCTCGCTTTGAAAAGTAAGAATTTGAGGGACCCAGCTCGTTCTGCTGCAGAACAAGTTACACGTGCCCTCAGGATACAGTAGGTTTGTCGTCACAGGCAGTACCTGTAGCGGCCTCCCTTTGCCAGCAGGAACAGAACAGAGTAATGTGTGTTCAAAACAAACCGGGTGTAATGCTGTTGCTGTTTAATACTGAGTAGTGATACGCTCTTGGTTCGAACGGGTCTTTTCACTGACTGCCTATGCGTTTAGACTTCGTAGTTGTCCCTTGCTGGTGCTGCTCAGGTAACTACTGAGCAGTGGTGTTGGCTGACATGAGTAAGACCAGGACAGGCACCACACACAGGAAATAAGTGTGCTGTGAAGTTTTAAAAGCTACTGAGGGAGGGAAGTTTCAAATGCTGTACTGTCTTCTGCAGGTGGGATGTTAAAAATAATTCCTGGACTTTAACTCGGGAACTGAAGCCTTTAGTGGTAAACTTGGACTTCCAGAGAAACAACAAAACGGTATTCAGGTCTACAAATTTTGCAGGATACATAGGCATGGTGTCTGGAGTCAAACCAGTAAGTATGGGGAGGGGGGCTTGTCAATTTTTTTATAATGCTTCACACTTTCCTTTAAGATGCAAATTTTCCTGCTTTCATCCTCTGCCTTGGGATGTTTATTAGTAAATGATCTCTTAGTTGTCCTGGTACACAGTATAGCTATTTGAAGAGAGGTAAAAGAAAACTATTCCTTGTTAAAGAAGATTGCCTAAAAGAAATATTCATGTTTGGACAATTCTTAAAAAGCAGTGTTGAATTCTGAGTGTGAACAGGAGTGAATACAAAGTGCTCAAGTGGTTGGAGTTTCTTGCTAGCAAACAGATACTGCTGTGATCCCAGAGGTGAAACGACATACTTGTGCTATTTTAATTCTTTCTCCAATCCTTCTTGGAAAAGGAGTTGTACATTGCAAAATTTAATATATTTTTTAATAGGCACCTGAAATCTGGGCTTTATCTATATCTTAAAAACCAGCAGTACAGAACTATACTAGGGTCTCCAGCTTACCACAACTCCTCCTTTTCTACGTGCTCTGCCTTTATCTTCAATTATAAGTGGCCCTTTTCATAGTAGAGCACTTCTGGCATAAATCCCTGCGTTGCATCCATTTATTTTTGTCTTCTGGTCAAATACTTTGGGAAGAGTCCATTCTGAAAATGATCCAGCTGAATTCCACTTTCCTCTGAAAGAAACAGTAGCTGGAGAAGACTGGGATTTGAGTTGGAATTGCAGGTTGCAAGTAGAGCAGACTGAGTTGTGTCAGCTGCCTGCCCATGTGAACAGCAATAACATATCAGGATGTACTTAGCACTGGGACTTAAAAATCTGCCTTCAAACTAGAATAGTATTCAGAAGTCTGAGAAGAAGGTTACATACAGGAGGGGAAGGAAAACTGGTAGTTCAGTGATGCAACAAGGACCAAGAGAAAAATGGCCACAGGCTTGACTTCCTTAGCATAAAAGCATGGTTTACTGGATTGCTATGCCAGGTCAGTAGACTAAGAATTATCAATTCTACTTGCTCAAGCAGTGATAAATTACGTTTTTCTCCACATGGGCTTGATCTTGCAGCCCATTACTCGAAGGGGAAGAGTCAAATGAACAAGCAGCTCAATTGGCATGTAAATTGCAATGCTGCCTCTTGTTTATTACTGGTATTAATGGGCTCGCGATAGACTAAGGTTGACTGGTTTAATGCTTTTCAGGACTTGTTCACTCTGACAATGAATGAGCGTTTCAGTCTTGATGGTGGTTATGTTGGTGAGTAATGCTCATTTCTTTCATTATTTCTGTACAAGTTTTCCAGACCTTGGGCATACCAGTTACCTTAATAAACAGGCACACAAATGGTGAAAAGATTCCTGATGAGTAAGGTAAAACATAGTTAATTTTAAAGGCTGTGAAAGTTAGAATAGCATGAGTGAACCTTCTGAAAACAAATTATTGTAACCAGTGATATTTTGCAGGAATCTTCGAATGGTTTCTTGGTAGAAGAGATGGTATGTGGATGGGCTTTCTTACAAGAACAGTATTAGAGAATGCTACAAGGTATCCCCCCCGCCCCTAAATATTCTACTGCTTAAATCTGCTTTGCTTCCAACTTGCATGAATATTGTAGATGTATGCTTAGTATCTAATGGTACAGATATCTTCCTAGAAGCCTTGACATTAAATAGTTGTGGGTTTGCTGGTACTCTGGTGGGGGGGAGGCATCACACGTGATCCTTTAAAACTCTTCAAATTGTCTTCTCAGTTTTATTTTTTTCTAATGAACCTATTGGTATCTGAAAATGTAACAGCATTCTGCATCAAAACACATCCAACAGGTAGTAGTACATTATAGGAAGTAAACAGAAACAAAGTTCTCATGCAGTAAATTAATTAGATGGAATATGACACAGCATGTCATCATTTTATTCCTGTTTTAAATGTAGAAAAAGTCCAAAGAGCACATCTCAACTTTACAAAGTGAATGGAGGAGCTTTGCTTTACTGTGTTCTTTCATTGTGATACCATCTCCTCATATGTGCATGAAAGGGGAAGAAAGGAAAGAACTACCCAAACTATTCCTGGGTCTGTGTAACTCATTTTTCAGTACTCGAACCATTTATAGCATTTAATAGTCCAACACTACTTTGTTATCTGCAGTTACCAGGATGCAAAAGACAGACTGGCAAAAACAAGACTGCTGGCTCCAGCTTACTTTATACTGGGTGGAAAAAATTCTGGAGAAGGGTGTGTGATAACTCGTTCCAGGACAGCTACTCTGGATATCTGGGAGTGAGTATGCTTGACCTTGCACCTTCCAGAAGAGGACAGGTTCCACCAATAATTGTATCCTATGCTTCTTGTGACTTCTGTTGTGCAAGAACTCACTTCTTTAGCATCACTGAAAAGTACCACAGGAAGCCTAAAAAAAAAAAAAAATCCAGCTGTATATACTATATATGTACTTGCTATATACTTAGAGCAGCAAAACACAAACATATACCTCTTTTCCAGCCTTGATGTCAAGAAAGGCACGTGGTACGTGTTAGAAACAAACTACGATCGCTGGAAGCCTCCACTAGTCTTGGATAATCGTAGAACACCTGCAATGAAATGCCTGAACCAGACAATGCAAGAGGTAAACATCCTCCTAGTACCTCATCTAGCTGTTTTGAAACTCTCAAGTTACAGTACTGATCCGACACAGCCAGGAGCATTCGGGGCTTTGGCAAGCACAGCTGTAGTGGCAAAAGCGGCTAACGGTTTTGTGATAATTTGTCTGTGCTTCTGGGTAGTAAAGTACTAGGTGGTGCTTTACACAAATACTTTATTTTTTAGTTTTACCCTTTGTCTGCATCTAGATGGGTTTCCTGCAAGCATTACCTGCGGCTGCAGGGGGATAAACCTGGAGATACTTTGAGAGAGATTTTAATTGTTTCCTGAGCTGTTTTGTCACCAATGAAAGTCGAAGACAGACTGTCAGGCAGCAGGCACTGACACTCAAGTGTCCCATGCTGTACTGAGATCTGGTCTGCTTAAGTTTTTGCAACCGATGTTCTTCTGATTTCAAGATGTAATCTTAAAGCTTTATCATACTATCTAATCGAGCATTTAAAAAGTTACACTTTTCAGCATTTACACTAATAGGTAAATGTCCATTAACATAAATTTATTATTTTCTTTCAGAACATCTCCTTACCAACAATTTACAATGTTCTCTCCACAAAGCCTGTCCTCAATAAGGTAATGCTTCTATTTTTGCAGAAAGTTTAGAATGGGGAGGTGGGGGGCAGACCACTAACTACTCTACATCCAAGGAGGAGGTCACAGGGGTACATTCAGGGGTTTTTAGGTGAAAACACGCACATAAAAACAAAACAAATTCCACGTTACTTTGTAAAAGCAAAAGGTAATTGCTAGAATAGCTGTTTTCCAAAGGTCCTACAGCTTTAAAGCTCCGAGTAGTCTGAGCCCTTTCCTCATAGCTGGCTCAGCTTTGAGGCAGCATTTGCTCTGCAGACATCTTAAGGACCCTTCTAACCTGAATTAACCTGTGATATAAGTTAACCTTAGATAACCCTTATAAGTAGCATGAAACAAGTTAATATACCTCATGGTTTACACATACTACAGTGACATTCTTCTTGAAACAGAAGATATTTTGGTCTGAACTTGAGGGTTTGGTGTTTAAAAAAAATAGACAACTAAAGGGGTAAGAAGAGTTTTTGAATGAGAAATTAAGTTGCTATATTCAGTAGAGGCAGCATTCTTGACTGAGGACACAAGCTATTCATACTTGCATGTTGTTGACTAAATAAGATAAATGCTCATTTCAGTCAAACTGTTCAGCTAGTCTCAGAGACATTTTTTCACTAATTACTGTAATGAGGCTTTCTCTTTTTTTGTTTTCTTTTTTTTTTGTTTGTTTTTTCTTCTTTTCCTCCCACCTACCTATTAGCTGACTGTGTGCACAACGCTGATGGAGGTGTATAATGGTCATACAGAGACTTACCTGCGGGAATGCCCAGATCCTTGTAGTCCTTGGTAGTCCTCGGTAGTCCTCTACCTTTCCTATGTTGGACGCTGCTTGTCTGAATTGGAGATCCTCCAAGAAAAAATACTTCTGGAAAATGATTCCTCAGCCTAATTCCTTTCTTCAGAAATCTAATGGCTATATACACATGTCAATGAGCTTCTAACAATGGAGGACCCTATCTCACATTGGACTATCTTGCTTTCTGATCAGCAGTTCTGCTGACAAGAAATGTGTACTAATGTATGTCTGGTTTGATTTCAGCCATTTTTACCAAATGAGTTCAGCATTTAGCTCTAGATCTCTTCAGTATTGACAGTATTCTTGGTTTGGTTTGTTGTTGGTTTATGGGTTTGTTATTCTTGTTTCATGGGTTGGTTGTTTTTTTTTTTAACATGAAAACACTTCTAAAGCACACGTGAGTTAAATGGCACCTAGTAGGCATGGAAAAGAATTGGGTTATTAGAAGGCCATCTGGGACAGTAAGGTTCTGTTATTCTTTCTGAAGCACTCAAGAAGAATTGCTAGTGTTCTGGTCCAATATGAGGATATGTCTAAGATGCCCTGTTATAAAGTAGCCTACCAAATGTCATATCTAATCACAGAAACAAGGTCTTAGGGAAATATAAAAAATGAGATCTGAGCAAAAAAAAAGTCTTTTCCCTGATTTATAGATCTTTTGCTGAAGCTCTTTCTTGGCCTGTTAACAAGGTTTTTTTAATACAGATTTTTCTGTTGTCTGAAAAAAATAAATGCTAATACAATAAATATTTTTAAGAACTACTTTTTTTGACTGAAGTACAGATGCACTGATTTCGTACCTCAGTGGAAGTCACCATGCATGTTACTTATCACATGGCAGAAAGGGCATTCACTTCCAAATAGACTGATTTTAACAGTGTCTGAAAAACTGGTTTCTTGAATTGACTGTTAAAGCTATTACTGTAATGGGAAGTAGCCAGCTACTAAGAGTGACTGGGTTGTTTGGGAGGATTTTGATTGGTAGGTTGGGTTGTTTTTTGGAAAGTGGGGGAGGGAAGCCAAATCAGACTATAGCATTGGCCAGAGTTCCAATTAAGAAAGTAAAGGTCCTTTAGGAATAGAGGGAACTATAGGCACCCTAATATCCTAGGGAGCAGATAATGTAGAAGGCAGTAGTTTCATCTGTGTCACTGGCTGCATTGCTGGGACGAGTTTCCAGTGCCAGCTCTTGTGTTTTATAACACACAAAGAGAAGACACTGGAGAGTAAGTTTAGGAGCTGGTATATGTGGTTGTTCACTTGTAATCTTTACTTAACCACCTGAGGAAAGAAGCACTCTTCATATTCCTCTTAAGCCATGAATTTAAATTTGCCACTGGTGGAAGGGAAGTGTTTGCTGTCTCGTTGGTGTCTGCAGAGAGGGTATTGCATAAGGCATTCTAACTAAAACTTGCAAGTCCGTGACACCCAGTCACAATGGGATTCTTGATAGCCAGGACATGCAGAACAGTGTTAGTTTAGTGCAGAACAGAGGATACCACAGTTTTGTCTTCAACAAGTTTTGTCTTCTACAGTAAAGGCTACTGTAAGATTTTTTTAATAATTGCAAATTTAACACTAAGAAATTTTAGACGGGGAAACAAGTTATTGCCCATAAGTCTGTGATGCAAAGTCAACTTTCATCCAAGTATGACTGGCTAAGTTTTATTTAGTATTGATTCTTTTTGTAAAAGAAATACTAAAAGATAACCTTTAATCACCCTTTGTTTCAGTGACTAGGTTACCAGCTTACAGCAAACCGTCACAGCTCTCCCTCCATCAACACTGGAAGAAGCAGGGACAAAAGGAATGCTATTTGCCACGTAACTTTAGCAGCTACAAAGAAACGTGGCTTTTAGGTGAGGAAGATGATATTCTAGGCCTTAGAACAATGCCTGTAGTAGCACAGCAAGCAGCAATTCAAAGGGGTGTAAAGCACTGATGCATTGAGAGCACACAGAAATCGGCATCCCACTATTTAAACTGATGTTAAAAAAGGGCTAGTCTAGTTGTACATCTAATTTTTTTTTTAACTGAAGTGTGCAATCCGAAGCATGTTAGCATGATTATATTATCAGAGTCCATTTTTAATCTCAGTCGTGAATATTGGGCCTATGTAAACCAAAATCAACATACCAGCATGATTTAGATTAGGGAAAAAAAACATGTATAGTGTGAAATGCAGCTTCTGGGACATTTGATTCCTATAAAGCAGTTAAACCAAGTCAAATGTTACAGTCTGTACCATGAAGGACACATCATATACTGCTGAGTTTGCACCTTCATCTGGTAGGGGGTTGTTCAGATTTATTTGGAATTAGTTGCATAATAGCCGTAATCAAATTACTTTGTCATTTAAAAATAAGTGGTAAGTTTACCTGCTTAATTAGTCCTGTCCCACTTTAGCATATGTGGAGCAAGGCAGTGTAGACTATTTACAGTCATTAACTAATGAGCTTTTGGTATGTCCCTTGTGCAAGACAATCCACGTTTCCACACTGGAAATTGCTTTACAATTGCAAAAGCACAGCTGAATCCCATAGATGTCTGTCCAGAGCCTGAATGCCTGTGCCTGCTGATGAGTGAAATAAACAAAGCTGTTTAAAAACAAAAACTCCAACAACGATGTCTTACTGTGTCTGCCTTAATATAGAAAAAGTGATGAATGTGATTAATTGCTTATTGATTTAACCTTCATCTGTCAACTCGGAAAGCGCTTGTTCTGAAGGTTTTCTCAAGCCCAACAAAAAGTTTAATTTGCTCTTGTTGCAGATAGAGACATCTATTTTTAATGTCACTTTACTGCCTTCCCCCTGCTTCTGCTGCTCTAGGCATTGTCATGAAAGCTAAGACTATTTCACTGAAGAAATGTATACAACTACTTGCAACTTTGGGATTTAATTTAGCTTCTTAAAAAAAAAAACCAAAACAAAACAGAAAGACACAAAGAACAGAAATGGGTATGTTTCTTCATATTAATTTGCTGTACATATAGTTGAGGTACCTCACAAACACTGAGAGGGTGGTCTGATGGTTTTTTTTCCAGATTTGTTTTTTTCCTAGGTCAAATAAGCAACCATGTGTATTTTCTCTTTTAAGTTTAAATAAGAGATTTACATGGCTTTCCTGGTTACGTTGTGAAAAAAATGATCAAATGGTTGCCAAAAAGAACCCAACATACATGTAAGCAACAAGACAAACCTACTGGTTTATTATTACTGCATAGTCTAGTTCTATGAAGGACAGCCTCAGTATTTTAGCTTCCAGGAAATTTTTTACTCTTAATGTAAATACAAAGAGTTAATCCAGTTTATTCTGAACTTGATTAAATAAGGCGTTACAGGAAAGACAAAGAATTTATTTGGACACTGGCATGTAAATGCAAAAAATGTCACTTTGCCAAGAAAATGTTACACCTCTGCAACTTAGGAAACCCATGCAGCGAAGCCCCATACCATTTCATAGGAAGGAGGAATGGCATCTCCCATGTCAAAAAGCAAAATGTGAGCAGCTGGTGAGGACAGGCGAATCTAGGAAAGGAACTTGATTCTATCAAAATCAAGCAGTAGTTTTGGGACACACGTGCAAGAAAGTTTGTATTAGAGTCACTTGCAAGTTAAGGCTTTGCTTAGAAGCAAAACTCCAGAGCAGCGCCCACAGATGTCCTGGAAAATATCTGCCAGGAAAGCAGCGAGAGTAAATAGAAGACTCGAGCTGGAGCAAGCAGGTGTGATGGACTGTGGACTGACAGGGAGCAGCTGAGAACTTTAGGCACGCAGCACAACTAACAACAAAATACTCCCCCCTCCCAGCACAAACACCTGTCCCACATTCACGCAGCCAGCTCTTTGGGGTATATGTGGAAGGAGAAAGAAATGTGAACAAAAAGCTCAAAAACTTGGATGTCACCTTAGTGGCAACAGCAGGCAAATGACCTGCTTGTGCCACGGATCATCAGCTGGACCTGCCGCTCCTGCTTTTGGAGGACCAGAAACGTTGGTGAGAAAGGCACACCCAAGCTCTCTGAGCAGCAAAACCTCTCATCCTTTGCACCAGAAGAACGAGATGAGCCAGAAAGAATAATGCTCAATCAAAGCGGTGGCAGAAACCACAATTTGCCCTGGGAAGAAATCTCCAGATATTTATGCATTTTATAGGAAGCTGCTCTTGACTGTTAAAAGAGTCTGGAAACACAACATACCAGTTGGCCGAGTACTGTGATCAAGAAGCAAGCAGACCACGCAGTTGTTCCCTACCAGTTTTTCAGAGCATCATAACTTGTGGTATCAAAGATTTTAAAGGTCTTATGTAGCTCAGTCTGCTCCCACACTCTGTTACTTAAAGGAGAGGACAATAATTACAAAGGAGTTAGTCTGTTTACATAGAGAAGTGCTTTACTCAGGACATTTTCTGATCTACAGTGAATCAGCTCTGAATTATATTAGTTGTATATAGGACAACCTCTCTCAGTCTAATTTGTTTTGCAGAGTTTGTTCTCCTAGCTCAAGGGTTATGCCTGAGCAATAGAAGAATCTCAGTAGTGAGGCTGCCTCTGTTGGGTATTCTGTATTGACGGTAACTCTAGTCATAAGGCGGGCTTAAGGTTTTCCACTGTTGGTCTTGTTTTTCTTTAATCTTGCTAAGCTTTCTCTATTAGGCAGATGCCAAATGTAGAAAAAAAATTCATCCTAGATTTTTCTCATCTTTATATTGCAGTGAAAATGGTTCATCTTGTTAAGAAAAATAAATAAAAAAATAATTTTTTAGCCATAGTAAAAAAAAAAATAGATCACAAGCATTGAGTTGTAAAGTTCCAAAATGCCATCGTGTTTATAAAACAGAACTTTAATTCAGGTACCTGGAGGGTTTGGGTTAGACATAGCCTTTTCTCAGGCTACACCCACGGTCTGAATTACACCAGTATTTAAACCTTTGAGTAGTTACATACAATTTGCATCAACTTAGTTCCCA